ATGGGAAGGTTAAGAAAGAGTTTTAGAAAATATTTTCTCCCCTTTTGGTAGGGAAATTATTTTTCTCCAATCGGAGGAAAATGAGTTAATGAGAAAGTATTTTTCAAAATATTTAAGCCAATCAAACATGATAAAATTAAAAAATATATTCAAAAAATATTTTCCTTTCATAAATATTGTTGCAGAATATCATGGGTTAACTAGCACGCACACAATCACACACAAAGCAAATAGAGAAGAAAAATCAACACAAGGATTTAACGAGGTTCGGCTAAGCCTAATCCTCGGGGCAAAAGCAGAGAGATTTTTCCACTATGAATGAGAAGAAAAACACAATACAATCTCTAGGATCCCCAACTACAACCCCTATCTATCTATATNATATATATATATATATATATATATATATATATATCCCAAAAGGTCTCAGGTTTCCCTATTTGACAAAGACTATAGGTTTTTCTTTCCTAAATCTATTAGGACAATGGGTTTTCCTAATCCTATAGGAATTATGAATTTCCTAAAAATACAAGAAAATAATTTAAGCCACAAATAACAAATATGAATATAAAAAAAGACGAGTGTCTCCATCTTATGCCAAGTTGGAAATTAAAGCAATCTTTTGCTTGTATTTCTTTCAAAACCTATACTAGATCTTGGTATTGGTGTACCATAGCACATAAAATGTGATGAGAATACACATTCATTAACTAACTATAACTAAGGCACGAAGATGTGTGTAAAAGACTAATATCATGCATTTATTAGTCTGTGCGTGCGGGTTTTTAGCCCTTCGATAGCCTATTTAAGGAATAGAAGTTGAAGGTATGATGTAGGACATACGATCAGTAAGAGCTGTTCATCCAGCCAATTGACAAATACCACTGTATTCTTAATGTTTGTAAATGAAGATGAATGAACTTCGGTAGGCAATTGCCTTGACACATCGGCTTTTACCTGATTTTACACAATTCTACATGGTCTGAATATGGCAATTGCTTCTGATGTGTTTGATTCAGAAGAAATTAAAGGTATTAATTTTCCTTTACCTCACAAATATCTCTGCTTGAGCACTCTAAAGTCAGGGGCGGATTTAGGGGGAGTGAACACCCTCCGCCGAAAAATTATACTGTATATATAAGGCAAAATTTGTTTTTTATCTCTATATATTAAGTTTTGAACATCCTTAACACAATCCAAAAGTGTAGTTTAGTGGTCATGGGTTCAATTCCCACTAGCTACAAAAAAATATTTTTGAACCCCCTTGGTGAAGATCCTGGCTCCGCCACTGTGTGAAGTCCATCTTCAATCATATGTTCTTGTGCTTTCCTATTAGTTTCATAAAATCCTCATTTGTATGCTTCAAACGAATAACTAGATACACTTTCAGATTTCAAATGTGAACCTATGAACTATGAACTCACAATGCTGAGAGAAACTATGAAATCACAATGAAACCAAAAGGCCTCTTAAAGGCACGGACCACAAGTACTTCATTTCCCAAGCTTTGTTGTTCTTCTCCAATTTCCTCTGCAGAAGTGGCAGCAGCTCTGAGCCGAGGGTCTATCGGAAACAACCTCTTTACCCTATCGGGTAGGGGTAAGGTCTGGGTACACATTACCCTCTCCAGACCCCACTTGGTGGGATTTTACTAGGTAGATGTTGTTGTTGTTGTAAGTGGCAGCAGCTTGGCTACAATTATGCAACTCAATCAGTTTCAATGTGGGAATATCTCCAATCTCTGTAGGAATATCCTCCAATTTATAGCAATACTTCAAGATTAGAAACTCAAGTCTAGGAAGACTTTCTCTGCTCGCTTCCCAGTGCACCAAATTTGTTGGGTTAATCTGTAGCAACTTCAGTTTCTTGAAACCCCCTTCATTTAGATTCCAATTGCTCCCTTGGAATGCAAAACATTTTAGCCTGAGCACCTCAAGATTGGACAATTTACCAAGCGTAGTCATATCCTCCCACAATAGACGCGTTCCTACTAGTGTCAAACTCTTCAAGAATGTAGGAAAAACATCCGATAACAGCGTTGGCAGCCTTAATGAAAAATTCTCATAAAGGCGAAATATCTAGATGAATTCTTAGCTTCTCGAGATCAACAAGACGGATGAGACTGTCAATAAGATTAGACGTTACACTACGCCATGGTTGTAAGCAAACAACTAACTTCTTTACTTTAGGGATAGCTGTAAAAATCTCCTTCCAATTAGAAGCAGCAACAGATATTGAATCCAGTGTTTGCAAGTTCTCTAAACATAAGAGATTTTGTGATTTTGGAGGAACAGGCATATACATTCCCCCAGGACACAAATGTCTCAAATTTGGCAGGTTCCAAATGTCCAATGGCAGGGATATTTGAGATGCAAATGAGATAACAATTAATGTTTGTAGATTCAGTAGATTGGATATTGATGCAGGAACTGCTGTACAAGTGGTACAGGCAAGATATCTCAAGTGTACTAATTGTGTTATCTCATGGGGAAATTTTGAGAAGTAAATAATTTGTACATCTAATACCCTTAGCAGTTGAAAGCAACAACTGATTGTTTTGTAACGTAGAGACTCCTCTAAGAAAACATGGCGTTCATCAAGGCACAAAATGGTATGAATTGAATCAAAATTACCTTTCTCTAGACTGAGATTTTTGTTTTGTAAAGCTTCTCGATACAAGCATAATCGGCGTTGAAATTCCATTCCCTCTGAGGAGACGTCATCGCATTTATTTATGACATGAAAAAACTTCTCAGTTTTTCCTTCTCTCAAGCATAATAGTCGAAGGAGGTCATGAATTCTGCAGGTTCTGATTTTGCCAGTAGCTCGTCTTCTACTAACCATAATCAAACTTCTGCCAACTAGATCTTCCAAACACTCTTCTGCCACTTGTTCTGGCTTTTTATGAATATTTGTCTTCAAAAAACCTTCAGCAACCCAAATTTTAATCAACCTATCTGCAGGAATTTCTGTATTTTTGAGGAAAACACCAATGTAATGAAAGCAAGCTTTTAAGTTACAGGGCAAGTAGTTGTAACTCAAAGCCAATATCTCTAAACACTGCTCGGAGGTTGAGCCTATATTTGAATTCACATTTTCAGCAACTTTTTTCCAGTCATCACATGTCCTATTGATATTAGAGAGAACACCAGCAATGACAACAACTGAGAGAGGTAATCCTCGACATTGTTCTGCCATTTTCTTCCCTATTTCCTCCAGTTGAGGAGGGCAATCTTCCTTTACAAATACCTTGTTACATAGTAATTTCCAACTATCTTCAACATTAAGGAAAGGTATGGGATGAGGAAGGCAGTCATTACTAGCATAATCAGCAACTTCTAAGAGCCTAGTAGTGATCATGATTCGACTTCCATTTTCATCATCGGGAAATGATCTTCTAACTAGGTCCCAGGCTTCTATACTCCATATATCGTCCAAAACTATCAAATACCTCTTCAGTTTCAATTTCTTATAGACATTCTCTAGTAATTGGTCAATGCTCGAGTCGTTGTGGTTCATTGGCTTTTGATCACGCCCAACTATGCCTTATAAAAAGGACTCTGCGGAGTTGCAAATATAACCCGAGTATTACGCCCAGGGTCGAATCCACAGAGAGTTAACCTATCAACCGCTATCTTCAGACCCACCAAGTCTTCAGAACCAGCTTCTCAAATATTCAAATTCTCAGTTGAGTGTTCTTAACAACTAGCTTGCAAGTAACTAATGGCTGTAACTAAATTAATAAGGTTGTAAACAATTATGAGAAAAAGCTAAGGCAATAATTTCCCCTATTGATGGAATCCCTTCTGTTTATGCTCATACAAATTTACCCACACATCTCTATCAATCATGAACGCTAGTCTTACCGCAAATCTCTCCCGAGTAATCACAGTAATTTACTATTGCACTCTTCCAAGATACACTAGCTTACTTTATTTAGCACGATTCACTTTAGATTACACCAAAGTCTTCGTTATCCCTAATCCCGCCTTTAAACCCGCAATTATAAATTCCTCTAATAATCTAGGAGTGGTGTTGTTCAACAATAACCTAAATATGCACTCTTTTCCAAGTTATGCACACTAAATAGGCACAGCTAATTGAGGATCCTGTCAATTAACTACAACGAACACGAAGTTGAACAAATAGAGATTAAACTGGCAATTTTGTATTCACATAAACAAGAAGTTCATCACCCAATAGGTTCCATCAAAACCTTAGACAAGGAATTTAGCTACTCATGGCTATGGGAAAATAAACTAAGATTGAATTCATCATAAAATCAAAAGAAAAGAAAAGAAGAAAGATGTTTAGAGTATTTTCTCACAATGTTTTTCCTTGCTAAGAAACCTAAAAAATCAATACATGCCTCTCTTGGGCGAAGTCTAATGTTTTAAATAGGGTTTAGGTCTAAAAATCCCGTAATTGACACTTTGGTCCCTGAAGTTTCTGCGCCTACCGCGGTTCTGCCGCGGTCGCGGTAGAACCGCGGCCAAACACCCTCGCGGAATCACTGAGGTTCTGCAGCTGCTTCCCACCGCGGTTCTGCTGCGGTCGCGGTGCAACCGCGGTGGACCCAGTGCTCTGAATCTTCAGCCTGCTTTTGCACGGGTCACTTGGGAAATTTCACAGTTGGCCTCTTTTTCATCACTTTTAACTCCAAAACTGCTCCTTAGCCTTCTTTATACATATATCACCTACAAATCATGAAAAGCACTAATAAGAGCATTTTGTCATCACTTTTAGCATTAAAACTACACAAGAAGGTGATTATTTAAGGTGTGATTATAGTCAAATTCACCTATTATCAACACCCCACACTTAAATCTTTGCTCGTCCTCGAGCAACTAAACCACACTTCTAGGGCTAACTGCTCAATGCATTGCCCCAATTTATGTCACACCTGCTATTATCAATGATCGACCCAAGCAGTGCACAATCATATCTCAAATGCAGACTCTCATGCCAAGACACACTTGTGCTCACTCTAATTACTCTAACAGAAGTGAAGACTCACTTTTTCTTCCTGAGTCACATGCCCTCACATAAACAAAATTTGAGAGAAGTTCCACACACATAAAATTCAACAACAAGGAACCATATATAGAAAGAATTCACTCACTTTCATCAAAGAGCATTCACATGCCACACAGACACACCATAAGCTTGCCCCTAGTGTAATACTCTACTAATCGAGCCATTCAGTCAAAGATCAAGAGGTCTTTATAGGTTGTAATGTAGGCTAAGGGACGGGTAGGATATATTTGGATATAGTGACTAACCTCCCTAAGCACTTTTAATACACACTTCTTTTTATTTTACCTTTATGCTCAACCCAATCATTACTCCACATTTTGTTTCACTTGTGACCCCCACTTTTCATTAGGTACAACTGGCTGCTTCTTTTTTTTTCCGATTTATTGTTCACTGCCAGTTCACCAACCAGAACCTTCATTCTTGATTCCCCTTTTCTTTTCTTTTTTTTTCTCTCTCTCCCACCCCACACTTTGACTTTTGTATATTCTTTAGTGATTAAGTGCTTCTAGGAGGTAAGGGTTCAAACAATGAGCTTATTCAAACACAGCGATTTAGATCATTATAGGGTTATCAAAGAATAGGCTTCAGGCTCAAAGGGGTTAACTATGGTAATATTCACAGGTGGATTCTCAAGTATAAAGGGTTGCACAAAGAAATGCCTCAATCATCTCTAAAACCAAACGACTTCTATTTCGCTTTGCAAACACACAGGGCAAATTCTAGGTATCATATGCAAGCATAGGATGCAAGTAACAACTCACACACACTTAGCATGTAACTCATTCCGAATCAGTTCATCAACACAATCATACGAGTGTTCAAGCAAGACAAGATGTGCAAAATTAAGGCATATATTATGAGTCCACAAACAAGCTTAGATCTTACACCCTTAGTTCGTTTTCTTTGCAAGTGTGCACATTTGGGGTTACATTCTGACCTTCACCCATTTAATCCTAAAACTATAAAAGAAAAATCTACCTAACCCGGTTCAAGAAAAACCCTTGGAAAAGAACCGTGGTCAAAAGAAAAACCAAGGGGGAGGTACTACACTACCTAAAAGAAGAAAATAAAATAAAAAAAACTTACTACATGGACTACTTCCCTCAAGAGTACTGTCCACATAGTCCGTCATCAGGAAGAGTCCTCTACAAGTTTTTTTTTTTATATATATATATATCTGACTTTGACCCTCAAGAGACCCGTCAACAAGTGTCCGTCGTTGGGCCAAGTCAGCTACTCCTAATATAACTTACTCACATATGTACACCACATCTACTGCTACCACACAACAACAGCTATATACATTTCAATACACAGTTAGAGCAAGTCTCCCACCCCATACTTAAAATCATGGCATGTCCCCATGTCATATCAATACAGTAAAGAACAGAAGAGGGAGAAGACTTCCCTGATACTCAATCCGAGTCGGAGACGGTGCTGGGGTCTACGATGGCAGGCCCTCCCCGAATGCGCGTAGCCAAGCCATAA